TGAAATATTCAAAATGGAAATTTATTAATCTGCGATGACATACATACTAAAATTAGAATGTTATGTTTCTTGGTTCAACTTTTTCATCAGAATTAATTTCACGAAAATTATGCGTTTAGATATATATGAAAGAAACATGTGTTTTTCCATTGAACTATAGTGGAAGTTTGTAAAGTTAGATCTGATTAATAGAACTTTCAATCTCGTAAACTCCCCTCCTGAGAATAGAAGACCATACATGAGAAAAATTCAGAGAATTTTAGGGTATTAGCACCTTAAAATTTGACTGCAACGATTTTGTTTTTGTCTATAGATATGACATAGTGTTCTAATAAAAACCCTAAAAGATATTGAGATTTGACTAAGCTATCGAGTTGTTTTCTAGATGTCTCAAATTTTCAGAAAACTCAAATTTCGATCTGAAACTTTGTGCATATAGAGAATACAACTAGATTAGCTTTCTTAAAAAAATTCAGAAGTTTTGAATAAAATTTTTTCGAGATATGAGACTTTCAATATATAAGTTCTTTTTCATGGATAGTGTATTTTTTTGAGAACTTCATATCTTGAAGAGACTTTGTTCAAAACTTATGAATTTTTTTAAGGAAGTTGAGACATTAAAAACTCGATAGCTTATGAGGGAAGGTCTCCAAGTCTGAGTCTCAGTTTTGAATGGAATATATACTAGTTTGTAGAGCTCGACGAGCTGATTCTCGTGGTATGTCCCATTTTTCTCATTTGAAGTTCTATGAGGAAAAGCGAAACATATCACAAGATTCAGCTCGTCGAGCTCTACAAGCTGATATATATTTCATTCAAAACTGAGACTCACACTTGGGAACGTTCCCTCGTTAGTCAAATCTCCATACCTTCTAGAGTTTTTATTAGAACACTATGTAGTATCTATAGACAGAAAAATCATTGAAATTAGAAGGTAGCAGCTGAAGGGATCCCTTCGTTAGTTGCTAAAAACGCCTATTTAAATACCAGAAAAGTTAACAAAAACGTAACCGATACTAGAAGGCCATAGTCTTTTATTCTACGATGGGATTTACTCCATCTATAGAAGTTTGAGAACCTGATCTAATCAACGTTCTACGCATTTAATCATGACACACTTCTTTTTTTAATATTTAGTTACAAGAATGGCTTGGTAAATATCAAATATTACTTAGTGCTTACAAACATAAAGCACCTCGACCAACTCCATCAGCTGTTGATTTTGATCTTAGTGATATAATTGGTGATAC